TTTTCAGACAATGAAAATAGACTTTTCAGTTACAAGGACGAGGAGTACGATGACAGCAGCGATTTATCACTTCACTTACATAGTACACCTATAGCATCTAGGTTTTTCAGTGATTTATCATGTCAACGACGAATAGACTTTTCAGTAAACGAATCTAGGTTTTTCAATGTCCATTGAAATAGGCTCTTCAGTAAAACTAATTAGGCTTTTTGTGACCAGTTATAACACATTGAAACGGCAACTAAACCTGCCTCTGCCTATATATACGTAATGTTGGATGCATTGCTACTTACTTTCCAACTAGTATTTTCTTTCATTGCAGTACCAATGTCTGGAGGGTCGTCCAGAGGGAGAGGAAAGGGGAAGGAAACTACCATTGTGTGGGAGGGTTCTCTTGGTCCCGATTTCTTTGAGGAAGCTCTTTATGAGAGGTTCCCAGTTGAGAGCAAAAGTGATTTCACCAAAGAGGCACCACTAAGAGGATACGATGAACGGAAAGAAGAGTGGCCAAAATGCATGCATGGTGAGGACTGCCTAGTGCAGATGTTCACCGAGGGAATAAATGGAGGTCGTCGTTTCTTCAAATGCCCGCGAGCATGGGTAATTGCTATTACTATTTATTTCTTCAATATGTTCCTTTTCTATACAATTTACATGACATACTTATTGCAGTCTTTCTTGGCCGAAGAAAACTGTGGGTTCACTAGGTGGGTCGATCCTCAGCCTATTTATCCGCATGCGGAGTACATCTACTACCTGCATTACCGTATCTTCGATCTAGAAGGAGAAGTTAGCAGTGGTTACAAGAACGACGAACAGGACGACAACAACAATGGTATCGATTCACAGGAGGTACTCTACAATGATCCATATTGCACCTGCCCTAACCACAAGAACAAGGGGCCTCTACCGTCTCCCCCGCCACCACCACCAACAACAATGGGAGGCTACTGTGAAGAAGGAGCAACATAATTTGCTATGTGGCCACACTACTAGGACGACCCTATCTTATTCACATGGCACATCCATATTTTTGTTGTTTGGTTTAATTACCTAAGGCATGTTAGATTTAGTCGAAGGAACTCTGTACCCTAGTTCGGTACATGTTCTCATATGCCATTTCATGTGTTTTGTGTGTTGAATTATATAATGCCTTACTTCGTTAGGTTTTGTTTTGCAGCACGTGATCACATTTCACTACGTCCGCAATATTATATTGAATATTATGACCACAAATAATGAAAATAACTACATAATAAAAAGTCCAATACTATGCCACATTAAACAACACAATAATACTAGAAGTACGTGTCGACAATAGACAACATTGTTCATGAATAAACCATAGAACTAGCAAGTCATGAAGACTACTGAGTGCAACGAGGCCACTTTCCCTTCCTCGGGGCATCGGAATTCTCCTCCATCGCTGCTTTCGTTCGACGTGCACGCTCAAGCTTCTTCTCCCTCTCCTCCCTATACGCAACAACACGCCTCCTTTCCTCCTCTTCCTTGTGCTCCTTTTTTGCAGCCTCCTCTCCGCGTCTCTTCTCCATCATCTCCTTGTCCTCTGCCTCCCACCGCAACAGTTTCTGCATCCATTCCTTGTCTTCAGGCTTGATCTCAGTGTCGATCCACTCCTCAAAATCACAGAGCGGTGAAGGGGTCTGAAAAAAATGCAATTGTTACAAAACAAAAAATCATGCAAGATGTCATATGACACAAACATCAATTCCTCACCATCTTATTAATGCGGCGCTGACGAAGTGTAGGTTCAAACGCAAAATTAGAACACATCCAATACCTCTGCCAATATGTGTCATCTTCATCGGACTTGGCTACCTTACAAGGATCGCCACACAAGCATATGGACACTGGAACACCACTAGGCAGAGACAATGGGTCGAAGACATTTCCGGTCATCCGGTCATAACTATAATTCAACCAATTTTGTTCTAAGAATCGAAAGCAATTAACATTAAACCCTAAACCTAAGATTTCCCATTTGATGCACAACAATGAACCCATAATATAACAACATGCGTTGAGGTTATCTTGGTTTGCTAATTTTTCCATGCCTTGGCAACCTATGGTTGTATAATACAAATATTAAAAATTACATGAAACCCTAAGTAATGACAATACTTAGGTTGAAAAATCTGACTAATATATACCGAATTGATGCGAAAAAAAACTAGGAGATGAGCAAGGATACCTTGCTCTCGAAGATCTACGGATCAAATCAAAGTTTCCAAGGTCCAATATGCCGATTTGTGAGGTAGGGCGAAGTGGGGAGAGAAAAAAAACCCGAGAGGGAGGAGAAAGAAGAGGAAGAAAGCTCGGGCAGGAAGGTTGAGAGCCGGGTTAAAACACCACCTCGGCGCCATAGATATTGGCGCCAAGTTGCCTGCCAAGTCACCGCCACGTCTGCGTCGAGCCCAAGATCTAGGCGCCAGAATCTATGGCGCCGAGACATATAAGCTCGGCGCCACCAACAATGACGCCGAGCTAAGGGTCCAGATTTTGAAATCATATCTCCAGGGACTTATTTGTGAAAAAATTTCAAAAAATCGGCTCCTGCGACAGTTCATCTAGAAGACTCTGGATGGACTCCACCACGGCGCCACCAGCTGTCTCACAGGCCTGGCTAATAACGTGACAGCCCACAAAATAATACGTATCGTCTGTGTACGTGTATATGTACAAATGTAATTCATAGATGCATGCACGGACGCCGCACAGATGAGGTGCAGGCAGGAGGCAGCTAAGCTAACCAGCTTGCACGTCGCATGCATGATGAGGAGGCTGTACCATCATGCTCGTACAACTTGTTAGCTTCTTTGTTCTTGCATGGCTCACCGCTCACATCCCTACGCGTGTTTAGAGATGAGATTTCCTGTGAGGCAGTGCGCGTATATATGGTTAATCTCGAACAGAAATCGTACGCCGTACGTTGGCCGGCCATATACGCCGCGCTTCTTATCTAACCTTGGAGAGAGTATATGGACGCCTGAATAATTAAGGCTGTTCGCACTGGTACAAAACAGAGCTTTACTTTCGGTGGGGAACCCCCTCTAGTCCTGGTTCCCCACCCGGGAGTAAGCATCCGGGACTAAAGGGGGGTCCGGACTAAAGGGGACCTTTAGTTCCGGTGGGTAACACCAACCGGGACTAAAGGTCCTCCCAGCTTTAAAAAAAATAATGCCTTCCACCGCTGCGTCCCGTGAGATTCGAACCCAAGACCCCATGCATTGCCTCGCGCGTAGCTTACCACCCCACCTACACAATACATCTAACAATGGATGTGATGCTTCCCTTTTGAACTAACCCATCAGGGGACCTTTAGTCCCGGTTGGTGTTACCAACCGGGACTAAAGGGTCCTTTAGTCCGGGTTGGTGTTACCAACCGGGACTAAAGGGTCTACCTTTAGTCCCGGTTTGTGTTATCAACCGGGACTAAAGGTTGAGGACTTTTAGTCCCGGTTGGTGGCTCCAACCGGGAGTAAAGGTCCACCTTTAGTCTCGGTTGGTGTCTACAACCGGGACTAAAGGTACTCTGTCACTGTGCCGAGCGCAGTAGCCGTTGGGCAGGGACCTTTAGTCCCGGTTGGAGATACCAACCGGGACTAAAGGTCTCTTTAGTCCCGAGCGCAAAAAATACCGGGACTAGAGCCCATTTTAATATCGGATGAAAGATCTGTTCTCTACTAGTGTCGAATGATCCTCCCTAGTATGCGCGCGTACATACGTACTAGGAGTACACAACATATATGTTAGCCCCAGCATGTGAATTTTGTACAATGAGTATACACACACAATGAGGAAAATTTTGTACAAAATCTCGTCAAACAAATATACTCCTATATAGCAGCCCCGGTGGTCAATACGTACTTTACACAGTCGCGCATGATCCGGATCGGAGCATACATATGCAATGTAGATCTCGTAGTCCTCATGTGACATGTGACAGCCCCGTTTGACGGCACCCGTGACGCAAAGCAAGGAAGCTGCAGGCGTGCTGCGCCTATCGTCCTCCTTTTTCTAAAAAATAATGTATCCGTGCTAGCCAGTGGTTGTAAGCGCTTGTTTAGTTCCCTAAAAGTTAGAAATTTGATTACTGTAGCACTTTTATTTTTATTTAGCCATTAGTGTTCAATCATGGACTAATTAGGCTCAAAACGTTCGTCTCGCAACTTTCAACCAAACTGTGTAATTAGTTTTTTTTTATCTATATTTAATGCTCAAGATTCGATGTGATAGGTACTATATTACTTTTTGGAAAAACTTTTCGTGATCTAAACGAAGGCTAAATAGTATAATGTAGCAGTCATCAGAGGTAAAAACAGATCTGATGACATGCATAGAATCAGATCTGATGACATGCATAGTATAATGCGCCTATCGTCCTCCTTTTTCTAAAAAAAAAGTGTATCGCTGCCGGCTGCTGCATGTGGCTGCTACGACCGTGGTACGCACCACCAACCGTAGCAGTCGGCGCTAGAGGGATAGTCCGCCCTAGAGCAGGTACAGTAAAAGTAAAAGGGTGTGGGCAGATTGTACGCGAGGTGGAAAGAGAAGAAACAGATGCAGGTTTATTTCCGATTCCCGAGAAACTTTAGAGATAAATAAGTGAACTATATATTAATAATAAAAATATAACTACTATGTAACTGTGAGCTGACAGGTAGACTAAAGATTCGCACGGCCAGCGTCTAGCTATTAATATAGCCCTGCTCTTGTATACGCCACCGCTCACTGCCTTTGCTGTTATGATGACTTGTGTGTGGCTCCGATGGTGCCATCCAATAGCATCATACATACCGTTCCGTAGTTTAATACGTACTAATAATATAATAGTACTACTATACAAGAGCTGCCTTGTCGGCGTGTGTCAGCAGCGAGCCAATGACACACGACCCATCGGCTTTATATGCGCCACCGCGCGCTCAAGTATCTATCAGTACTGAACTCCTGCTCTAGCTCTGGGGAGTGGGGACACCGAAATGGAGAGGCAGGGGCTTTTCACCACGGAGAAGCACGGTGGCAGGGCGCTCTACAGGCTCCACGCCGTCACGGTGTTCCTGGGGATATGCCTGCTGCTCTGCTACAGGGCGACGCACGTCCCGGCTGCCGGCACCGGCAGGGCGGCGTGGCTGGGGATGCTCGCGGCGGAGCTGTGGTTCGCCTTCTACTGGGTCATCACGCAGTCCGTGCGCTGGTGCCCCATCCGCCGCCGCACCTTCGTCGACAGGCTCGCCGCCAGGTTTGTGTGCATGCATACGCATCATATATATATCATGCATATTATACGCATATATACTTTCTGTGGATATATGTATCAATATACTGTAAGTATCATTGTTAGTTGCACGTCCAAGCATTTCTCAGAAGATTAGGAACTTCTTGATGCATCGGTTCATATATATATACACGTACGTACGTACTCCAACAACCAATCAACATGCTGTTTGTGTTAACAAAGGGGGCGTTTAATTAGATCGTTGAGCTAAAAGTAAATTAACCCTCTTGTGACAATGGATTAAATTAAATTAATATAGACCAATCATGGGGTAAAAATCGGTGGACTCTTGACCTTGACCACTAGCTCCATTAGCTCTTATTGTGCACTCCGTATTAAGCTAATTGAGTTAATGGACTATGACCACCCACCAATTAGCCTCATCATTAGCTTTTAATGTTTAGACGTCCAAAGTCCATCGATAGTTCTGGGATGCATGTACGTCGCCAGGTCCTACTAGCTAGGGCGTTGTTGCTGATGTCCCTGCGTACGTACGTGAGAATGAATGCTAACTCGCCATTTGAAAAGTTTGTACTAGATCATAGCAACAGCTTACCTTTGAGTAGTACTTGCTCCGTCCTAAAAGCAAATATGACTTTAGGTTTCAACTAAGTCAAAGTTTTTTCAAATTGACTAGCTCTGGAAAAAAAATAATATTTATATTTATATATCTAAATAGATTCACTATATGAAGTTTATGTACACTCGCTTTGTTTGACTTTGTTTTTCATCAGTCTCTCTTGCATCTCTAGGACCTAGTATGACACGTCGAACATATATTAGCGCACATGTTAGTCCTATTGATTGAGTTTTTATCATCTCACCAAAACTTATGCTAAATCATGTATAAGGGCACATGATCCTTACACATGCATTCTCGTTTCTTGTGGATCCAAACCCGTGACAGTGTGACCCCAAGCCTCGCACAAGCCTTCTACGTGCCACGTACTACATACATGTTTCTAAATTCTAAGGCGTTTGTTTGGCACTGCTCCAAGCTGCTCTGGCTCCATGTGCATACGCACTATACACCACTATAGCGCGAAGCAAAATGGCTCCGGCAAAATATAAATGGAAAAGTGGAGGAGCCGGAGGAGCAAATGTTTTGAGGCTCCGACGGCTCCGCTATAACATTATGGTGGAGCCGGAGCTAGTCGGGCTCCTTCAAACAAGGCGTAACTGTAATAGAAAAATTTACACTCTACTTTTGATTGGAACGATTTTTAAAGATGATTCTCTTTATGACCTGTCTATAGATATTATTTTTAGAAGCAGACCTCTATATAAATTATAAACATCCAACACTCACTTTTAAAATATGTTTGGGAGCTTGAAACAATACAAACGAGCCCAATGAAAATATTATCAATTATAAAGTTTTAAATTCCATCCAGTTGTATATAATTTAGATATAAAGTTTTGTCCTCATCCAGCTCCTCATGTCATGTGTCCATGCACACTTATCCATTTTTTTTCCTTAGAGAAGGAGACCCATCTCTATAAATCTCCTATTTCCATTCCAAGGGCAGCTAGAAATTAATTCCGACAGGGTGTGGGAAAAAAAACTGAGGTTCCTCAGAAAACCGTTTACATACATGTAGTAAAGTTTGAAACCGTGCTACAGATTGCAGACCTCAGGCACACAGGACCAGATAAGATAGACCAGGGGCGATTCGATGACATACGCATCACTACATCAGATTGGGTCCATTTTGGTCCTTCTGCATATCATGCGTTGCGTACAGCTAGCAGCCCATTAAAACGGTTACGATGGCATGGGTTCTACTAACTGCACCAGACCTGTTCGTTTTTTCTTTCAAAAAAAGAAGTGTACGTTTGTTTTGAACGAAAGAACTGTCCGTTTGTTGTGCATCATGCCAGCGTTGAAAAAAAGTAAACAAAGCTATTACTGAACCTTAACATTCGTATCATGTCAATTGGAGCAGATTTGGAGAACGGCTTCCCTGTGTGGACATCTTCGTATGCACAGCGGACCCACAATCGGAGCCACCAAGCCTTGTCGTGGCCACAGTCCTGTCACTCATGGCATACAACTACCCACCTGAGAAGCTAAGCGTGTACCTCTCAGACGACGGGGGCTCCATTCTCACTTTCTACGCCATGTGGGAGATCTCCGCCTTCGCGAAGCACTGGCTTCCATTCTGCAGGCGATACAACATTGAGCCACGCTCACCGGCCGCTTACTTTGCGGCGTCAGATAAGCCTCATGATCCACACGCCTTAGAAGAGTGGTCATCCGTCAAAGTATGTGTATTTTTCAGAATTAAACACTTGTATACAGATGACTAGCTAGTAGGCAGCAGGAATACATTGGCACTCACACATGTTCGCCATGGCAACTGGTATTCTTTTGGTCAGGACCTCTATGAAGAAATGACAGAGCGGATCGATTCCGCTGCTAGGTCAGGCAAGGTTCCTGAAGAAATCAAAGTAAAACACAAAGGATTTTCAGAGTGGAATGCAGGTCTTACCTCAAAGGATCACCACCCAATTGTTCAGGTACATTTCTTCCCATCCCTCCAAATTTCGCATTGTTTGTGACTCCAGATTTTTTTTATTAAAAAAATTGTTCCTTTTGCTAGATTCTGATCGATGCGAAAGACAAAAATGCAGTTGACAATGAAGGAAATGTACTGCCAACACTGGTGTACATGGCACGAGAGAAGAGGCCTCAATACCACCATAACTTCAAAGCTGGGGCAATGAACGCTCTGGTATGCTCACTAATCTTAATACATCACTCCATCATCTTAGGTCTATGCTGTGAACTCCATGCTTCACATTAGCACAGACATGTTTGCTTATAATTGCTACTAGAAACAAGTTTGTTGAAACAATTATCATTATCATTATCACAAAGTTTCTAGCTATGATGAAAGTAGCCTAAAGGTCAGGACATAGAGTTTGTGAATGTGCAATTCAGATCTGTTGGTCCTGCTCCTGCATATATGGCCATATGAGAACCTACTCATGACTGCCAGATATCATAAAGTACAGACTAGGGATCGGAGTCTGACAATTCCTGTAAACAAACTCGCTTAATATAATCACAGTGCATATTTCTAAGCTGTGAGCTTTTCATTTGAAATGCAGATAAGGGTGTCATCAGTGATAAGCAACAGCCCTATCATCATGAATGTGGACTGCGATATGTATTCAAACAACAGAGATTCAATTAGAGATGCAATGTGCTTCTTCCTTGATGAAGAAATGGGTCACAAAATCGCATTTGTGCAGTACCCTCAGAACTACAACAATATGACCAAGAACAACATATATGGTAACTCCCTCAATGTCATCAATGAGGTCAGAAAAATATATATATTTCAATACAGTTCTCACATGGCAGAATATGCAGTCATTATGCATGCCTTGACTCTAACACTGGTGTTAAATCTTAAGGTGGAGTTGAGCGGTCTGGACACTTGGGGTGGGCCATTGTATATTGGCACTGGATGCTTCCATAGAAGGGAGACCCTATGCGGCAGGAGGTTCACCAAAGACTACAAGGAAGACTGGGACAGAGGAATCAAGACAGAGCACTGCATAGACAAGACTGAAGAGAAAGCAAAGTCGTTAGCAACTTGCACCTACGAACATAACACGCAGTGGGGAGATGAGATGGGATTGAAATATGGCTGTCCAGTGGAAGATGTCATCACCGGACTGGCAATACATTGTAGAGGATGGAAGTCGGTCTATAGCAATCCCCCAAGAGCAGGATTTATCGGTGTAGGGCCAACAACACTTGCTCAGACAATACTGCAACACAAGCGATGGAGCGAGGGTAATTTCACTATTTTTGTTTCAAAGTACTGTCCCTTCTTATTTGGACGTGGAATAACCAAGTTACCCCATCAAATGGGCTACTCAATCTACGGTTTATGGGCACCAAACTCACTGCCTACGTTGTATTATGCTGTCATCCCTTCACTATGCCTACTCAAGGGCACCCCATTATTCCCTGAGGTATGTTAATTACATATAACAAGTATTAGTGTATTACTTCAGTTCATGGGAGTTTGCATTGAAACTAACATGATGCTCCTAATTATGTACTTCAGATAATGAGTCCGTGGATCACACCTTTCATATATGTCTCAGTTGTGAAGAATATCTACAGCGTATATGAGGCATTATTATGTAGAGAAACATTGAGAGGATGGTGGAATGCACAAAGGATGTGGATGGTCAAAAGAATAACCTCGTACCTCTACGGCGTCATTGACACCATCAGGAAGGTGTTAGGACTGTCACAGATGGGGTTTGTAGTTTCACCAAAGGTAAGCGATGAAGATGAATTGAAGAGGTATGAGCAAGAAATCATGGAATTTGGAACGTCGTCGTCGGAATACGTGATCATCGCGACCATTGCACTACTGAACCTTGTGTGTCTGGTCGGAGGACTATATCAAATAATCCTGGCAAGTGGCGAGAATAAAATGGCATTGAATGTATTTTTCCTCCAGGTCATTCTGTGCGGGGTGCTAGTGATCATCAACATCCCAATCTATGAAGCAATGTTCCTCAGGAAGGACAGAGGGAGAATACCGTTCTCAGTCACCCTAGCCTCCATTGGCTTTGTGATGTTGGCCCTCTTTGTGCCATTCTTTTGATTTTGGGGTCCTAAAAAAGGCACAGAGGATACTGATACTACACGATGCAAAAAATGTATGCTTGCAGTATGCAAAAACGATGCCTTCAGCTAGCCGTGTCGTGTAAAAACGTACTCAGATAGGGCATGTATGGATCAACACTGAAATGCCCCCAGTCTGATGAACTTTGATCCTACTGATATGATGATCATTAATGACACATTCACCTCACCGTACTATAATATTCTTCGGAAAAGGTGAGCGAGCTACCATGTCGATCGTCACCACTCACCAACGCATGCATCTATGGCAATTGGCAACATCCGTGTAAGAACAAGTATAGCAATTGTCTTATAGTCAAGCTAGTCAGTATTTTTTTTTTCTTATGTGAAGAAAAGAGATAAGAGCTCAGCTTTTATAAGAGCAAAACAAGCTGGACACAAAAACAGAAACACTGCTAGGTCCAGATAGAAATGCACGTCAGAAGGAATATATATGAAACAAAATGTAACACATGATATCATATAATAAAAAAACTTTTTATAGATACATAAAAGATAACTATTATATAGTTTAGCTCTTATAATTTGACTTATAGATAAACATTTGATTTTATTATTGACTTATACCAAGACTCCATTCTCCAAGTGATGCATTCCTGACTGCTTGTTAGCCCCTTTCGCGCGTCATGCAGGGCAGGCACGCGCTGACGACGAGCAAGCTTACTCCTATGTCCTAATAGGAGCACAGTAATGCTGGGAAACGAGCGTCGGTCCGCCCGAACGCTCTGTTGGTGGACTGTGACGCCAGCCTAACTACCCTCTTCTATCCACTCAGGAGTTTCTCAAAAAAAAATTCTCTATTTCCAGTCGCTCCTATCCGTTCGTCCAATTGCTCATATCTGCTCTAGGAGCAATGGCCACCGTGAGGACTAGGCGCGAGGCACCCGCAGCGTCCTCCATCGCCCAGGCGCGGAGCGGTGCGGCCTGCCGCCTCCGAGGCGCAGGCGATCGGCCACTGCCGCCGCCAGAGCGCGCGGCGTGGCTGCCCTCTCCTAGTTGTACGGCTGCTGCCTCCCCGCCGCGTCGCGGAGCCGCCGCCGCCGGGCCGTTGCGTCCGGTGAACTCCGCACACCAACGAGCCTCCAATCTCCCGAGCACTAGGAGATGTTGCGCTGAAAGCGCATGTTGCAAGCGTATGTTTTAAGTGTTTCAGATGTTTCAAAGGTATGTTGCAAGTGTTTCATATGGATGTTGCAAAAATAGATCGAGATGTTGCATATGTTGCAATGGTTGTACACGTATGTTGCAAGTGTATGTTCTCAATGTTTCATCTGTTTTTCAGACGTGTGTTGCAAATGTGTTTATCCGGATGTTGCATATGCTTCACACATATGTTGCAAGTGTTTTATCAGATGTTGCGTATGTTTGCAGTGATTTTCAAGTATTGTCAGGTGTTTTTCCAAATGTTTCAGACGCATATTTCAAATATTTCATCTGTCTTCTTTTGTATGTTGCAAGTGTTGTATTTGGATATTTCAAAGTAGATCGGGTGTTGCACATAGGATGCGCGTGGGAAGCGGGAGGGGGCGCAAGCGGTCCCCCCTGCGGGCGACGTCCAAGCGGCGCGGGCCCCTGTGTGGGTGCACGAAACGTAGGGCATGTTCGCTTGAACTTATCAGCCGGTTTATCAGCTAGAATCTAAAATATTTTTCTCTCACAACAAAACAGCTTTAGCCGGCTTATCAGCCGGCTTTAATACTAGCCGAATAGGCCCTATAGGCGCGGACAGACAATGTCCAGACAGTGCGGGCCCTATGTGAACGCGCGAAACAAGAGCACAGAAACAGGCTACAGCCGTGAGCATCCGTCCAGACGTGCCGACACTAGCCGTGCCCACATGAGTATATATCAGCCAGGGACACGGTCACACGGACAATGACTAGCTACTGTAGTAGACAGTAGTCCAATCAAGTGGCGAGGCGATTACTACACGGGTGTTCCTCCTGGTCTCGAGCTAGCTTTCCGTTCAATGTGACTGTGTGAGCGAATCTTCCCGTCAAGACGCAGCCGGCGACGCTTTTCTTTTTTTTTTTTCTTTAAATGTCGGGTCCTATATATCTATGAGCTGATAGTGATATGATAGTGTCATATACTGCAATAAGACGCCAAACAAGATAAGCATCGGCAATCGAGTGGAGTGGGATCTGTGGATGAACCTCATAATTACAGTGGACGCTATCTTCTTCACCGTCGTTTTTCAAGACGACGAGTAGTTCGTCTTTTAAGCCCCGGCCCCGGCCCCGGCCCGCGGCTGCTAACGGTGAAAGGCTTCAGGAAACAGCGATATTCTCTCGAGGAAATAGGCGGCTGACGACGCCACTGGTTCAGGGGCCGGGACCTTTGGAACGAATAAAGACAAAGCATAGGAATTAATTTAGAGGAATTTTTAATCCTACAGGAAAATTTTCTATACATCTGCTTGTGTTCACAGGGTGAGTGTGCGTGCGTGTTGAGCGTCTGTGTCTATATTTGTGTAATTCGCAAAAAAAAAGGATCACATAAACCCTATGAGATTCGTTTGGATTCAATGATATGGAATTTTAGAAAAAAAAGGTATCATGTGGTTCGATTTTATAGAAACTTCTCTTTATGTCTATCTCTCTTGAAATGTGTGCACGTTTCTTGTTTTCTATCCAAATGCCACATTAGAAACTTTCCTATATATATTTTTGAATTCATGTATGATTGTAAGTTCCATGTAACTTCAATTCTACGTTTTTTCTTCTATTTGTGTTTTGAGAATTCTGTGTTATATAAAGAGCCGCTAAACATACATGCAACTGCTTGGATCCATAAAAACTCTTAGTGCTTATTTGGATCTCATTCTCATATTGAGATTCTAGATTATAGATGGTGAATGTAGAATCTGGATTCTAGATTAAAAAAAAACGATGGTTGTTTGGACCTCATTCTCAACCTGATAGTTGCCTTTGCATAGTGAAAAATTTCCAAATAGTAGATTTGGGTTGTAGATAGTTTGATTCTCCAAGTGTTTGGATCATATTCTCATTTTTCTTAAGAGATCCAAACAGACCATTAGTTCTTTTTTCCCCTCCGTATCATAAAAAAGATGAGCTCTTTTACAGTGGCTGGGGGTACTTCTTGGTTCCTCTTAGTTCCTAAGTAATTAATTAGCGCTAATTAATTTTATGAGTGGAAGGTTAATAGGGTAATTGCGGCTCCCCTCCCCCCGCTACCCCTCCTCCACGCCGCACCAACCCCCGACGCCCATGCGCAGCCGGAAGGACGCGGCGAGTTCGTGGATGCGGCAGTTCTCGCCCTTGGCCTTAGCCGCGCCTCGCCCTCGACCGACCGCCATCGCGGCGCCACCGCCACCAGCCCGCCTCGCCACCACCGGTCGCTCCTCCTCCTCCCCGGCACCCCTCGCCCACGCGCGCCGCCGCCGCGCCACGACTTCCTCTCACAGACGCGCCGCCGCCACCAAGGACGCTCCTCTCTCGCTTCCACGACTTAAGGCGGCGACGACCGCGCGCCGCCCCACGCAGCCGAAGGACGCGAGCAGCCTCGCCCTCGGCCTTAGCTGCTGCCTCGCCTCGCCGACCTCGCCATCGCGCGGCGCGCCGCCGCCACCGGCCTGCCCGCTCGCCACCACCGGTCGCTCCTCCCTCCTCCCCGGCACCCCACGCCCACGCCGCACTGCCGCCGCCCAGACGACTTCCTCTCGCTATACACGCCGCCGCCGCCGCCGCTTAAGGACGCCTCTCTCGCTCCACGACTACAAAGGCGGCACGACGACGCACGACTTCCTCTCATTGTCGCCGCCGCCGCCGCCAAGGACTCTCCTCTCCGCTCCACGACTCCAAGCGCGCCGCACCGCCTCTCAAGGTCTGCATCCGCATGTTTTCTTCATTCTCTTTTCTTCCTCGATCTCATGGCAATTCTACTCCCTGTTCGATCGACCTCTGTCCACTATAGTAGTGTTAGGTAGATATGCTGCTTGCAGTTCCTTATTCATGCCTGGATATAGTAAAAGTTCATTATCTCTTTCAGAGAATTCTATCTATTACTATAAAACCAAACTCTAGCAATTCCATGTGTTGCTATTCAAATAGGCTACAAGTCATATTTCAGTGTCAGAAAATCCCAACAAAATTATTGTATTTGACTAATTTATCTGAGCTTCTAATTGTTCTTGTGGAGATTTAAAATTCGTTTCTCCTTTTTGCCTGAGAGCCAAAAGAAATTTTGCACCTTATGTCCATATGCCTGAGACGCTGGCTTAAAAGAATCACACAGCATATGCAAAGAGTGTATCAACTGCATGTATGTTGCATAACAAATGATTCTCCAATAGTGTCATTATCAATCAAATCGTTCAAGCAAAGTTGGGACTCCTTCTCCCATAGTCCTTACTAAGCTGATTCATTTTCTAAATAATAAACTATGCAGCATAAATTTTTCAGCGAGTCTGCATCAATTCCTGTAATTCTAGAGGCTCTGGGCAAGGTAGCCTGACTCATTATATTTCTAGAAAGGAGCACATTGCCACTAGAAATGCAAATATCATAATATTGAATGCACAATGACATGACAGCAACTTATGTGTAGTGTAACAAAACTGTGGCAATTATCAGTAGCAAGATGCAGTAGAAGACCAACCAAAGAGATACATATCGAACATCCCCAGGTAGAGGTAATCGTTGCCACTACCGTGCACTCGAATCTAAAACTCTCATCAGAACTTCTCAGATAACCAAGCAAAAACCTTGCTACATGGCTTCACGGGAAGGGGTGAAAGGGGGTACTGTAGGGGCATGCTTCTAAATATCTGATGGTTTTGTGCAAGGGCACGCTTCTAAATGTGCAGCAAACATAAGAGGGGACAAACAAAACATATAGTCAAGTCCTTTCAACTTTATCCAAAAAAAGTAATCAACCCGAGCAAACACAATGCAGATAAACCATCGAGAAGAATGCGGTGCATTTTGCTACAACGTGACAAACCAAATCAAAATAATCAAACAAGTGGAGGAGGAGAGGAAGGGGTGGGGGCGCCGGACCCGGGCAGAGCCACGCCGGATCGCTGCGCCGTCCTCAATGTTGGCCGGCGTGGGAAGAGGAAGCCACCCAGGCGCTGCATCGCCGAGGCCAACCGCTTCCCGGCTCGGCTGAAGTGTTTCGGCCTGCCTTTTGCTACCGACGAGATCTAGCAGAGCATAAAATGAAGCTGAGATGAAACGAACGATTCAAGAAACCAAATCGAATTAGACACAAAATTAAGTCGAGAGACTTGTAGCCGGGTGCAATTGGGATTGAAGACGGCGCTTGAGGTTACCCGAGTGGGGGGCGCGAGCGAAACCCTAAGCCGCCAGCCCGGATCTCGCCTCCTCCACCGCCATCGCCGGATCTACGCTGGTGCGGTGTAGAGCCCCCGCAACCTCCTTGTCCTCCTCCACGGTGTCGATCCCCGCCATGGCTGCTGCCGGACCACCGCGCGTCCGCCAACGCGCCTCGCCCGCCCGCACCTCCCGCCAGCTGGGACGGACCGCCTCCTTGACTTGCCAGACCACCGCCTCCCTCTCCTCCCCCCTCGCGCACTCGCCCGCCAGAAGACACAGAGAGAAAGAAGGCCCGAGAAAGAACAGAGCGACTGAGAGAGAAGGGCCGGCCTGCGTTGGTCCGAAGAGAATAATACGTGAAAACACTGTAGTACTTCAATCATACTCTGAACATTATTTTTCTATCCTTGATTTACTGTTCTACCCTCAATTACGTAAAATAATTTCAAAATTAGAAAATTTCCCACTTTTTTCATGTGCTGATCAGATCAATTTTAGTATGCACCCGGTGCGTATGGTCCCACCATTTAGTATGCACCTGGTTCCTCTCGGTACCTCTTAAATTGATTCCTCTCGGTTCTTTGCCTTTTTAGCCGTCGGATCGGTCCTCGTGAGCCGTCTATTTTATGACAACCATTGTAAAAATTCTCAAAAAAGATTTTGCAGCTCTCTCCTTCATATTCTTGAAAAAAAATACACTCGACAGGAATACAACTTCAATAAGAGCCCACGTGATGATACTACCCACCCGGCAGCCGGCACGCCCTCGCGTTATATATATATACCGTTGCGCAGTCCTCTTATAGACAGCTCCATTATACAAACGGGTAGCGACCGAGAGAGACGAGGTGAGAGATGAAGCGACTGTTTGCTACTGAGAAGCTCGGGGGCAGGGTGCTGTATAGATTCCAAGCCATCAGGGTGTTCGTGGGGATATGCCTCGTGCTCTACTACAGGGCGACACATATCCCAGCGGACGGTACCACAGGGAGGGCGGCGTGGCTGGGGATGGTCGCGGCGGAGGTGTGGTTCGGTTTCTACTGGGTCCTCATGCAGTCCGGGAGATGGTACCCTATCCGCCGCCGAACCTTCAAGGACAGGCTCGCCGACAGGTTTTCTCTTGTCATCGCACAAGCTACTCTGGTTCCGCCAATTACTGTTTCCTACGTTCTGAAAAGATCTTTAATTGTCAGCATCAACGTGTTACCTGTCACACAAAAAAACAAATTCATACAATTAAATACTAATATTTACGTTACCAAGTAAGTATTATTAGACAATCATAAAATATATTATTTGGTATCGTCAACACATGCTCTCGCACGAGCTTGAATATTAAAACATATAAGCATTAGATGTTGTTTAATATACCTAACTAATAAAAAATTGTTTATGCTATATTGCATGTTTTTATTTTTTTCATATTTTTCAACAAAATAAATGCTCCATAGTATCTATCAAATGATGATAAACTTATCAATTACTTATCCATATGTATTTTTTCAGTCATATTCATAGTTATTTTCCTTGCATGGCACCTCTTATCTTGAATATGCATTTAGTTGAACCTTAGCTTAAACTATGGTGGCTCTTGTGTAACCCATATCTTATGATGTCAAGAATCTGACTTTTGATTTCTAAATTTTTAATCAAAATTTTAATTTTATTTTTATTTTTAAATTTAAATCTAATTTTAAATAATTTGTTACTATCATTAGTATATGATAAGTAAGTTGTTAAAAAATTATTATCCAAGATTATTGAAACATAACATATATATTTATCACTCATACATGCATGTGTATTTTTTTTTGTGGAATTACACAAGTACAGAAGCAGACGCTCAACACGACATGCATGTGTATTTGATATGTATGATGACACAATATGTTTGTTTAATTTAATTAATTTAAATATTAGTAGATGTGGTTAACATAGAAATATGTATATGCCTTGTGGTTACTTAAATATTTCTATAATAGAATATGTTGATAACTTAGATGTAGCTTTGAGGGGGTATTTTAGTTTTTTTAGCTACACAAGTGGTAATTTAGATGCGAACTTAAGAGGTTATATAAATTATCTGTCATAATAGCATGTGAGTAATTAGATGCAAATTTAGTTTACTTTAGACCATGTTTTTTTATTGTCATCGTATTTTAAATATATGTTTATAAGTTACTTTATGTTGTTTTACGTAATGGCAAAGGTAGGTAATTATTTAGAAAAATAGAATAGATTCAATTCCTATTATTATTGATTATGATTAGAGTCTACAAGATTGATGACTAGATATTTTTTTATTTTATAAGATATTTTAGGGTTTATCCATTTTTCAAGCAACATATGCAGATTCCATTAGGGATCTCTAGTTAGAATTGTAGGTTATATCTGTTTTTTCTCTAGCACGATATGTAATTAGTTGGAACCTAAGTTTAAGTTGTATACGCTTTGTTTCATCTTTTTATGATATCATAAATCTATATTTTAGCTTTCAACTTTTAATATAATTATATTTTAAAGTTATAAGTTTATATTAGCTTTTGATTTTTTGTCCATTAGTTAAGTTGAAATCATATTAAAAAGTATTCTTGATCATAGGCTATCCTCTTGGTTCTATGAAAGTATTATATTGGCCATTTCAACTTGCATGACGATACTCAATATGTTAAATTTGTTATATGAAAGTATTATATGTGTAATAGTATTATTTTACACATAAATTACCAATATTACCTTTTATGCACAAAAAGGCAATTATGCTATGCTGAGATTTAACGAACCGTATAATTTGGCACAGATTTGGAGAACGACTGCCTTGTGTGGACATCTTCGTGTGCACCGCAGACCCAAAATCAGAGCCACCAAATCTTGTCATCTCCACAGTGCTATCGGTCATGGCATACAACTACCCAGCTGAGAAATTAAACGTCTACCTCTCAGACGATGGAGGCTCGATTCTCACTTTCTATGCTCTGTGGGAGGCCTCCTTGTTCGCAAAGCATTGGCTCCCATTTTGCAAGACATACAAAGTTGAGCCAAGGTCACCAGCTGCTTACTTCTCAGAGACAGATAAGCGCCGTGATGATCTGCACACCTTGAAAGAATGGTCATTCGTCAAGGTATGCATGTTTTTCTAACATCGTTAGACCCACCGCTTATGTAACCAATTACTAATAAGCAGGACACAAATGAGGACTCAGATTTTTTTTGGTCATGCCAACTGATATTCCATTGGGCAGGGCCTGTACGAGGAAATGACTAAGCGAATTGATTCAGCTGTCGTGTCAGGCAAAATTCCAGAAGAAATGAAAGCAAAGCATAAAGGATTTTCTGAATGGAATTCAGAAATGACTCCCAAAAATCACCAGCCAATTCTTCAGGTAGCGTTCCTGTCCTCCAAGCTGGAGCGTGATTTAATAATTGTGGAGTGAAGAACTTCATGAATTTGATTTGAGGCTCCCAATTCTGACAGTTCGCTTGTTTTCTAGATTCTGATAGATGGAAAACACATCAATGCAAATGACAGGGAGGTTAATGTACTACCAACACTGGTATACATGGCACGAGAGAAGAGGCCTCAATACCACCACAACTTCAAAGCTGGGGCGATGAACGCTCTGGTGCCTTATCTTAGAACTTGACAAACTTCTTTTTAAAACTCCCTACTTTACACATTAGTGTTTGTTTATTTTCATATATGCAATAGATAATTTGAATAATGCTTGTACATTTCAAACAAACTACTGATGCAGCCACGACCATTGTAGAATAATGCTTGCATATGCACATAGGTGGGTATTTGTCTTATCTGCTGACACCTCAATAATCCATTAAGCATCATTGAATCAACAGTGCATCAACAATTTCCCCAAGTTGAATTTAAACAAAGAGTTAAAATATCCAGTTCTCCCGCCCTTTATCAAAATATACAATTCAAAAAATGTTGATTTTACCTAGATGTGGGTAAAATATCACAACTGTGAGATATCAGCAGGTGCGGTATGGAGTCTGAAATTATCATAAACAAACTCTCATTACCACCATTCTGGCTAAAATGTTAAATATTCCATGAAACAATATGATGCCTTAACATCATGAGTCTAAAATATGTGAACATTTCTTTTGAAATTCAGATAAGGGTATCATCAGTGATAAGCAACAGCCCTATCATCATGAATGTGGACTGTGATATGTATTCCAACAACAGTGATTCAATCAGAGATGCGTTGTGCTTCTTCCTTGATGAAGAAATGGGTCACAAAATCGGATTTGTACAGTACCCTCAGACCTATAACAATGTGACCAAGAATGACATATATGACAACTCCCTCCGTGTCATCAATCAGGTCAGCAATAGCAATATAATTTCAACACCTTTCATAAATAGCAACAGCAGTATATGCAACTACTATACATGTCATGACACTAACATAGCTACTTTGGATCTAAAGGATTTGAGTGGTTTCGACAGTGTGGGTGGCCCTCTCTATTGTGGCTCTGGATGCTTCCATAGAAGGGAGATCCTATGTGGCAGAAGGTACACCCAAGAATACAAGGAAGATTGGGACAGAGGAATTAAGAGAAAGACACAAGTCAATATATATCAGACTGAAGAGAAAGCGAAGTCATTAGCAACCTGCGCATATGAATATAAAACACAGTGGGGAAATGAGATTGGCTTGAAATATGGTTGTCCAGCAGAAGACATCATCACTGGATTGGCAATACATTGTAGAGGGTGGGAGTCAGTCTTCATGAGCCCATCAAGAGCAGCATTTATCGGTGTAGGTCCAACAACACTTGCTCAGACAATACTGCAACATAAGAGATGGAGCGAGGGTAATTTTTCAATTTTTCTTTCAAAGTACTGTCCCTTCTTCTTTGGACATGGAAATATCAGGTTACTACATCAAATGGCCTACTCAATTCCTGGTTTGTGGGCACCAAACTCACTCCCTACACTATATTATGTTATCATCCCTTCACTTGGCCTTCTCAAGAGCACTCCCTTATTTCCAGAGGTAATGTTATATGATAAGTGTCACTTTAGTTTCGTATAATTTGCAGTGAAACTAACACGATGCCCTTAGTCATTCAGATAATGAGTCCATGGGTCATACCTTTCCTATATGTTTCATCGGTGGAGAATATGTACAATCTATATGAAGCATTATTATCCAGAGAAACATTGAAGGGGTGGTGGAATGGACAGAGGATGTGGATAATTAAAAGAATAACCTCATACCTCTATGGCGTCATTGACACAATCAGGAATTTGGTAGGGCTGTCAAAGATGGGGTTTGCAGTTACATCAAAGGTCAGCAATAAAGATGAATGGAAAAGGTACGAGCAAGAAATCATGGAATTTGGATCGTCTTCACCAGAATATGTGATCATTGCAACAGTTGCATTACTCAACCATGTGTGCCTGGTGGGAGGACTGTGTCAAATCATCACAGGCACCTGGCATATGGCATTGAATATATTTTTCCTCCAGGTCATTCTATGTGGGGTGCTAGTTATCATCAATATCCCAATCTATGAAGCAATGTTCCTCAGGAAAGACACAGGGAGAATACCATTCTCAGTCACACTAGCTTCCATTGGCTTTGTGATTTTGATTGTGGCCCTCTTTGTACCAATAATTTGAGGACATAGAAGAGGCACTGGTGAATTTCTTAGAGTTCAATTGAATATACTACACACACAAAAATGGATTATACAAAAAAGATGTTCGCATACTCTCTCATGTAAAACCCAAACCATCCTAAAACAGCACTTCCTTATGTGTTATGTTTTAGGGGGCATTGTCTGTTGCCTCATCATTTCAAAGGTCAAATCAATACGTTTCTCTGTTTTCTTAAGAGTAGATATGTTGATTATGATTATGTATTGGAGCAAATACATAATAAATTAGTGATACACATAAGATGGATCAAAGAAAGACTAATCAGTCTTTTAGACAGTAGAAAATGCAAAAGTGCATAAAGGGAGAAGTCCCAGCTTCATCTTGAAAGTTCCCAGCCAAAAAAAAAGATGGCATTGCAAGCGCTCTAACTAGCCCACCAGCCGCACCACCTCCACCAGCGGCCGCTCCTGCTCCACCGGCCCGGGACTTCCACCTGACGTACAGTCGGCGTCCCCGGGCCTCTGCGACAGCGCCCATGACCAAGCAGCCTGCACCACCGCCAGCGGCCGAGCAGCCTGCACCACCACCGCCGTGCAGCCTGCTCCGGCGCCGATCGTGCCGGCTCCTACACCAGCACCTGCGCCGCCGGCCTCCCAGATGGTCACCCGATCACAGACCGGCACTCTTCGTTCGGTCCAGCGCTATGGCTTCTCCACCACCCACTCCGTCGTCTTGCCGGTACCAGCGAACTACCGGAGTGCCTTGGTCGACCCTCAGTGGAGGGCTGCCATGGCTGACGAGTACAAGGCGCTCGTTGATAACGGGACATGGCGCCTCGTTCCTCGTCCTCCCGGCACCAACGTTGTGACGGGCAAGTGGATTTTCAAACATAAATTCCACTTGGACGGTTCCCTTGCCCGCCACAAGGCGCGTTGGGTGGTTCGCGGATTCACCTAGCGCCACAGCATCGACTACGACGAGACGTTCAACCCCGTCGTCAAGCCTGCCACGATACGTGTCGTCCTCAGCATTGCTGCTTCGTGATCCTGGCCGATCCACCAGCTCGACGTGAAGAATGCTTTTCTTCATGGTCATCTGGCGGAGACCGTTACTACCAGCAGCCTCCTGGCTTCGTCGACCCTGCAGCGTTCTCTATATGGCCTGAAACAGGCTCCTCGGGCATGGTACCAGCTGTTCACTGCCTATCTCCAGCTGCTCGGCTTCGTCGCGTCCGTCTCCGACACGTCTCTCTTTGTGCTCAAAGAGGGGGACGCTACAGCCTACCTGCTCCTGCACGTTGACGACATCATCCTCACAGCGTCCTCGACCGACCTCCTGCAGTGCATCATGGCGCGTCTTCACTCCAAGTTCGCCATGACGGACCTCGGAGATCTGCACCACTTCCTCGACATCTCCGTCACGCGCTCGCTAGAGGGTCTCTTCCTTTCCCAGCACCAGTACGCTGTGGACCTTCTACAGCGGGCGGGCATGGCCGAGTGTCACCCTACCGCCACAACGGTTGACGCTCGTGCCAAGCTCTCTGCCACCGACGGAGCTCCGGAATCCGATCCGTCCCAGTACCGGAGTATTGCCGGCGCTCTACAGTACCTGACGCTCACCCGTCCCGAGCTCGCCTACGTGGTCCAGCAGGTGTGCCTCTTCATGCATGATCCCCGCGAGCCTCATCTCGCGTTGATCAAGCGCATCCTGCGCTACGTGAAGGGTACTTTGTCCACCGGTCTCCACCTCAGCTCCAGGCCGGTTGACTCCCTCACCGCATACTCCAACGCGGACTGGGCAGGCTGTCCGGACTCCAGTCGCTCTACGTCCGGCTACTGCGTCTTCCTCGGCGACAACTTGGTCTCTTGGTCCTCCAAGCGCCAGACGACGGTGTCCCGTTCCAGTGCTGAGGCTGAGTACCACGTGGTTTCCCATGTCATGGCTGAGTGTTGTTGGCTTCGTCAGCTTCTCCAGGAGCTCCACGCGCCCATTGCTTCTGCGACCGTCGTGTACTGTGACAATGTTAGCGCCATCTATATGACCGCTAATCCTGTCCACCATCGTCGCACGAAGCACATCGAGATCGACATTCACTTCGTCCGCAACAAGGTTGCCTTGGGACAGGTTCGGGTGCTGCTTGTCCCTTCGACTCATCAGTTCACGGACATCATGACCAAAGGCTTACTTGTACAGTTGTTCACTGACTTTAGGTCCAGTCTTTGCGTCCGCGATCACCTCCTGCTGCGACTGCGGGAGGGTATTAGACATGTATAGTCCTGTATACGTTGTATTTGGACATGTTGTACTCTTAGCCCCATTGGGCTATATATATGAAAGGTCATCCCCCTAAGAGGGTGTATGGTGTTTCCCTATCTCTCTACAGACACTGTTGGAAATAATCCTATGTCTCTAGGTGCATGCTAGTGTCTAGGTTCATAGAATTTACTTTAGCTAAATTTCAGCATGGAGTAATAGGAAGTAATAGGTTGATTAGTTGAGTGATTTTCTGCATTTATTAGGAGGCTATCATAGCCTGATTTGTAGCTCACGTTGGCTATATTAGAAGAGGAGAAAACCAGAAAAGGCTAAGTCATTCCAGCCACCAAACCACTTGTGTATGTGTGTGTTCTTGTGTGATACTGTGTTCCTGTGACCTGTTGGAGGCTTTAGGCCTTTCATACACACACGACCACAACAAGCCCACCACTAACAAACACTCCCAAACACACACAGAGACAACAAACACACACACACTCACAAACAAGGGATGAACGACCAACTACATGCTACATTTGATTTCTAGTTGCACAAAATCTCCTTCAACTTGCAAAATAGCCATAAAGCCAGGCATCTCAGTTCACATTCACTGGCAGCAATTATACGACCCAAGTATAGACAAAATAAATACACACTTTATCATTGCAACTATGGAATGATATATACAACTTCCATGCTGATAAAAAACCTTGTTTGTTCCACAGTAGTAATGACAACACTTGACTGGTATTGCCTATAAATAATGTGCACTAGAATAATTTCTAAAATGCCATGGATGTATGTTAGGCTACATTTGGAATTTTGGATGAGTGCATCAATCTGAAAATTCTTATCACTACTAACTCTTCCATTTGCAGCATTAGACAAAAGTGGCATAGTCATGCTACACTAGGATCAACTAAATAGAGGTGCACAGTGGCAGACCATTCAGGCAGATGTAGTTCTAGTACCTTTGGCTTGCAACATACATTATAACATTACTCATCAAAATGAATTTCTTCAGGGCTGTAAGACATAATCTGCTGCTCCCCAATTCTCTCTTTGCTGCAGATTAGGATTAGGAACTGGTCAGCATGGCTGTCCATTCTGAAGTGCTGTAGCTTGTAAGGCAATAGGCCATCTAGTACTAGTAGTTGGTAGAAACTACATCAGCCATGTTTGGTAGTGGGCTGATCTAAGCAAGGTACTTGTAGTACTAGGAGTAGATGGGGCTGTACTCAGCCATACTCATGTGTACCTTATAGTTGGTACATGAGTTGTATATATACTACACCCAAGGCAATGCAAAAGGGCAGTTCAGTTGCCACATTCAGTCTTCAGAGCTCTGGTTCAGAGCTGGTGTGTGTGCTGTGTGTGTGCTCTGCACTCAACCCCTTCTTCTACCTCTAGCCGTGGTGTGTGTGTGTGCTGGTAAGCTTGTTGCTTACCTGTGCAGGGAAGCAAGGGACCAACAAGGGCATCCTCAGCATTCTTGTTCATGATGCAACTAATCTGTGTGTCGTACAAGAAGCAATATGGTATGAATTTGACTATGCTTTTTTTGTGTGTGAAGCCAAAGCACCTTGTTTCTTAATGTAGAATGTAAGAGGAAAACGCAGATGGAGTTTCAAGAATATGTAAGATAAAGATATTGAAGCAGTGACTTGGTGCACTTTAACATTAGGGCAATACATGTGATTCCATCTCACCTAGTTGTGGCCTTGTGGCAACTCCTATAATATTAGTGCAATGACCGGACAAGGCGTGCAGCAAATGCCCCATCCATAGAGTGCTTAGTTGGATTTGAGCAATAGAAACCTTCATCTGTGATAAATTCTGTAGGAACATACCCACATACACTCTGAGGAGCAAATTCCTACAGCATATCATAAATTAATTAATATACATATTTCAAAAAAGGAACATGATGAAGTGTCAAGGTTGCACACATGAATCATGATGCAGGAATTCCAATTGCAGGAAAAAAAAGAATGGTACAAAAAGTTTAAATGTGCATATTTTTGTGTGTCCTACACCAAAAGCTATATCATTTTTTAGACCTGAAATAGTAGGGCTAGAATATAGTGGGAATGGTTGGTTATGAAGAACTTCCAGTTACCGGCAAGGATCTTGAAGGGGTAAAAGGAATTAAGAAGTTTATTAATAGTGCTACTACTACTTGAGTGGAAAAACAATGCAACATATAATAATAGTATAATACCAACAGTCCCGAATAGGAAGGACAAATATATTTTTTTACCATTCAAGTTGAATATTGAGTTTGTAACTTGAACTAAAAAATTAGTGCTGATTGTTATGAAAAAAGTACCGGATGCCTCTGAACAAAAGCAGCAATCCTCTTTTCATTTTCTTCAGGATCAATCGAACACGTACTGTAGATTAGTATACCACCAGGCTTTACCAACCTGCAAGTAAAACCCTTGTAAGTAACCTCAGATGTTGTTCAGACAAATTTTCTTGAATGATTTTACAGAGCAAGGGATCTCACATTGATGCCGAATCAAGAAGCTTGTCTTGTAAACACATCAACTCCTCCAAATCTTCAAACTGTCTATTCCAACGTAAGTCCGCCCTCTTAGGAAAATTCAAAAAAAAAAAGTAATTTTATAATGCAACAGCTTGTAGATCCAGATTCAGATTGGTTCAAATGAAAACTGGAAGGATGAAATGTTGGAGATGTACTTGATGAAGAAAGGTACCTTGGGAAGGACTCCCAGCCCAGAGCATGGAGCATCCAGTAATAC